CAACAGTCCAGACTCTGATTCCAGCTCCGGTGAGGTTCTGCACACAAATTGGCTGTCTGATTTGTTTAATGTGTAATTACCACACAACACCAAATCAGTACATTGAATTATTATTTTTTTAGCCAAATACTGAAGCTACTTCTGCATATTTGTCATGAAGCACAAGAATCCAACTGACTGCAGTTTCTGCTCACACTGCTGAAATCATGTCTCACTGTTTAAGTTTCACAGTTGTACAGTTGTACTGTGAGTATCTGTAACTTAAGAAATCAACAGGAGACACTGTGGTGCAGTGTGTGGTAAAATCATTACAAAAAGACGTTTCACACGCGCCCTTTCTGTGACACGCTGAGAGCCTTAAGCAGAACGCCTGAGTTAACAGACAAAGTTCATAATCAGCTCATGCTATCAGATATCTTTATCTGGGGCTTCTGGCTTTGCTGAACCAGCTTTCTCAAAGGAAGCCTGGATATGTTGAACTTGCTTCAGATACAACAACTGACCCAAATACTGATCAATAACTTAAACAACAGCCAAATACTGCCACCTAGTGTCTAAAGTGAGTTTTGTCTAAACTAAATGTGTTGAAGTGTTTGCGCTTCAGAAATAAAAGTTTTCATGGCTAACAAAAACCAGTATGAACCGGTTCTGCTCATCTGTCTGTCCCTGTCTATAGGTACACTGACTTGAAGAGAGAGGACAATTGGCTTCCATGTACAAGACACACAAGAATCACTCTATCAGGTAAAGTGATAGAAGGTGGAGTCCTACATACTCATACTAAGTAATCCACAGTCCTTTCTAACACGGAGTTAATATAAACTCTATGTATATTAAAATATACAAGCCTCTGATTTCTGCCTCTCAGGTTGATTCTGCTGTTTCAGTTTCACCTGTTAGCTCACATCCCTGGCTACTAAGTCATAGGCAAAAGTTAATTATTGTAATTTATGTCATGAAAATATTAACTTTAGTTTAATTTATCAGGCTGGCCATGTGATGACAGTTTAAAATAATCTTCAATAGAAAGTGTCAGGAACACATAAATTCATAAAGCTGATCATATTATTGGATTCATCATGTCTTATTATATATTTGTTTTTCCTCTTAAATAGTTATCCTGTCTTTAATAGGAAAACAAAAAACATGATCAGCTACTTTTTATAAAGGCAAACTTTAGAAGCTGAGTTTAGCAGAACCTGAGGACAGATCTGATTTCAGGTCTGAAGCATAAACATCACAGTCAAATTCATTATACTTACATTTAACTCCATGATTGTTTTTTGCCCTCAGATTCAGATCCATCAGCAACCCCTGACAACGTGGAGGACTCGTCCCCCGACAACGCGGAGGACTCGTCCCCCGACAACGTGGAGGACTCGTCCCCTGAGTGTTTCCTGTCCTCTCTCGATGGTCTTCTTCTCTTCAGTTATTAACTCTTGAAAACAGCAGCACAACATGCCAGACTGTTTGACAAGTGTGTGATTGAATAAATGGAAATGGAATCTCATGCGTATCTTGCTATGCTTATTGGCTTTAAATGTTTAATATTAAATAAGTTTGAAGGCCATTTATCTCAGACGAGTCCGGCTGTAACAAGCTGAGCTCGTCTGTTAGCTTTGCTGTTGCTAAATTATTTTACTGTGACCAACATGTTGTAGTGCTCCAGTTAATCAGAAACAGTCATATCAGATTTTTTAAAAGTTTATTTAAACATTTTATGAAAAAAAAATCTTCAATAAACAACTCCTGGCTTCATGAACCATGTGGAAAATAAGTAAGGGAGACCAACAGGTCGAACTGCTGGGACATAGGAGAAAGTATAAAAAATAATTTAACAAAGAAATCCAAACAAAAATCAAATAAAGTAAAGAGATCCTGGATGATTGTTTGACTGTTAAAATATGATGGAAAAGCAAATCCAACACAACCCTCCAGCATCTGGAAACACAGGGCAACATCATGTTAAGAAAAATAAATTGAATATTGACCTGGATCTCTGTGTTTTATCTGAGGATGACTATGGTAGCCTTCTGACTGTTCACTGTCACAAAGCTCCAGACTCTGTCCACCTTCTTCAGACGTCGATCAGCTCCTCTGGGTGATGGCAGAGAGGACTCTTCATCTGGGAGAGCTGCTGGTGTAAGGTCATTTCTCCCACAGTGGATGAGCAGGGCATCTGGCACAGGTGAAAAAAGGAGGAGGTTCCTTCAAACTAAGAGACCCCAGCCTGACCTCTGTAACAGGTGTGCAGATGAACAGGTGTGCAGATGAAGGTTGAAATGAGTCATTTTTAGGTTCAGTTCATTTTAAAATGGGAAAGAAAACATCACCTTTCTATTTAACATTTAGCTGGTGTATGACTCTGTGATTTTTATTTTATTTTGAAGACTGTATTGTTAACAATATCTTGTTTTGACAATCCTCTTTATGAAACTTAAAACGAAATCACAGGATATATAAACATTTAACAGATGATTTTAACTTACACTTCACCTCTGTGGAAGATGTCAGACCAGCTGCTTTTATCTCTTCTTTGCCTAAATGAAGATACAAAAAACAATTGATTTACTGTTCATTTAAATATATTAGAAAAGCAGACATGACTCACATTGCAGACTATCAGTTTCTAACAGAATACAACATATCTTACCACCTGTAGTCTACAGTCTGTGGTGCTAATATAGAACGATTTCAGCAAAAACAGAGGACCCAGCAGCCCTCGTATTTTCAATAATGATCAAAATAGAGGGATTTTTAAAAATACAGTGTGTTTAAATATTAGGCCTTGAATACGGTGGTTGGTTGTACTTACACATTTCTTCATAAGATGGCAGCACATCTTTACCTGTCAGTGCGTCTGTGTGTCATTTTGTGTATTAGACTTTTCATCTCTGTAAAGTCTATAGTAAAATATCGGTAAACTTTAAATCTGTCCACCACGTTGTGTCTACTGGGACTATCGGCTGTGTGAAATGTAGTTTATATAACCTACCTACTCAACCGTTCTGGAGGACCTAGATCGAATGAATGCAACATACCGAGGAACGTGTGCATCTGGCTGTGCGCTGGATAAATCGTTACCCCTACACCCTTTTTTTTTCATCTGACACTGTGGTCTTGTCCCGTCTCGCAGTATAATGGCTTTGCAAGACAATTTTACCATTTCCATAAACTGTGCTTGTGATTTTGTATTGGAGGACTCTAAGAAAGATACCTCCTCCAAATCACTTAAACAGAGGTGTCTTATTGTTCTGTTGCTGCTGATTTCAGGGAATGTGCAACCCAATCCAGGTCCAGATTCTGCTTTAAATTTTAACACTCCTGCTGACTTTAAATCAAGGTCTGGTCTTGGTTTCATCTATCTGAATGTACGCAGTTTAATAGCTAAAATGGACATGATTCGTATCTGGGCGAACTCAACAGATGCTGATGTAATTGTTCTATCTGAAACTTGGTTGAGTAAATCTGTTCTGAACAAGGATATTAGTATCGATGGTTATAATATATTTAGGACTGACCGGCCCAAAGGGGGAGGGGATATTGCGATTTATATAAAAAGCAAGTTTCATGCAAATGTGCTTCTCTCCAAGTCAGAGAGTAAGCCGTTTGAATTGTTGGCTCTTGATCTTGAGATATTGAAATCTCTCCATGTAACTGTTGTTGGTTGCTATAGGACACCTTCAGCTGTCAGCAGTGCACTATCCACCCTGATGCAGCTTTTAACAGAATTGAAGTTTAATGAAATTGTCATTATTGGAGATTTTAACTGGAACTGGTTAAAACCAGTATCTGATGATTTTAAAGCTTACTGTGACTCTCTAAACCTCTTTCAAATTGTCAATAGCCCCACTAGACCCAATCTTAAACGTCCAGAAAAATCATCTCTAATAGATCTTGTTCTAACAAACACTCCTCGTAAATACACAACCGCTTCTGTTTTTGCAAATGACATTAGTGACCATTGTGTTATTGCCTCAGTGAGAAATACAAAAGGGGTTTTTTCAAGACTTGTTTAATTTTAACTGGCAGAAAACGCATCATATTCCTGATGTTGAAAGTGCATGGAAATTCTTTTAGGATGGTTTCACAAAAATTGTGGACAAGCACGCTCCCCTCAGAAAGTACAGAGTTAAAGGCCGAAATAATGTATGGTTCACTCCAGATTTATCTAACTCACTTCATGAGCAAAATATAGCATGGGCAAAAGCCAGGAGATCAGGTCTGGATTTGGACTGGCTGCTTTACAGGCAGATGCACAATGCTCTCACAGTTGCAATTAGGAAAGCCAAAGCTGATCATTTCCTCACAGAAACCTCAAGCAACCTAAACAATCCCTTGAAATTCTGGAAGACAATTAAATCCCTGGCTGGAAATAAAAATGGAATTGAGCTTCCTCCATGCATTGTTAAGGACTCACTTAAAGTCACTGATAAGTCCAAAATGCTTGGTGTCTTTAATGAACATTTTATAGCCTCTGGCTCCTTGTTTGACTCTTTTAGCAATAGGCATATAAATTCCCCTACTGTTTTTTCTGACTGTCATGTTACAGGTAGTCAATCCTTCAGTTTTCAAGTCATTAGTCGAGGAGTTTGAGGGCTGAGACTGCTCAGAAGTGCGTAAAAAAGTCTGAAATATACTTGGGCGACCCTCTCCAGTATTTTGAGAAACACTGACGTGGTATTGAAAATTGAATCGAATAGATTTTGACATCCTTCACTTCGTCTGTCAGATTAAATAAGTGTTTCTTCTCTTTTAGACTCTAAGAGCCGGACAGACACTCGGAAAATGTTGTACAGACTAGTGTTGCAGTACCTGAAATCAGTCTTGGTCTCGAGAAAACGTTTTTTTAAAGGTCTCAGAATCAGAATCAAAATCATTTTGACTCGGTCTCAGACTGGGCGGACTTTATTATGAAACCAAACAAATAGCTTCCCATCCGTATAAAGCTTAAAAATGATTTCGTTTTTTTAAGTGTTGAATATTTAAAGGTTTAATAAGACTTTGAATCATCACATTAAGCTGAAATTAGAGATATGTGTGCTTCTTCTTGTGTTTTTCTCTCACAGTCGTTTGTGCGCTGCATCCCCGGGGTGGGGATCTACTTCAGCACCTTCTACTCCCTGAAGCAGCACTTCTTCCTGGACCAGGCGCCCAACGCCGGGGAGGCCGTTCTGCTCGGAGCGGGCGCCAGAACCGTGGCCGGCGTCTCCATGCTGCCGTTCACTGTCATCAAGACCCGCTTTGAGGTGAGCCTGACTTTCTTTACACACATTTGTTTTCAGTATATTGATGATAAATGTCCGCTGTGTTGAGGACTATAACCTCCACACATCGACTGTGATAAACTTGTAGAATAATCACCACAAAAGGAGCATTTAAACCAAAGTATGTAGCTTTGTGTTTCGAGGTGAACTTGGCATGTTTGATGGCGTTTCAGAGCGGCTGTTACAACTACGTGAGCGTGGCCGGCGCCCTGAGGAGCGTGTACGAGACGGAGGGACTCAGGGCTCTGTTCTCGGGCCTGACCGCAACGCTGCTCCGGGACGCTCCGTTCTCCGGCATCTACGTCATGTTCTACAGCCAGGCCAAGAAGACGCTGCCTCAAGGTGAGAGACGCACCCACCTCAGCCAATCACAGCTGAGATCATCAAAATGTACAGGAAGCTTTTTTAAATTCATGACACGATCAAATATTGAGTAATTATCAGGAATTTAACTCTTTAAATGCCAGTTTGATAACATGATTCTGGCATTTAAAGAGTTAAATTTCTGATAATTACTCAATATTTGATATTTTTGAGCAGGGCTGGAGTTGTTTAAGAGATAAGAGAGAAAAGAAATATGAATCTCTTCTATTTTTATATCAGTTTTTTGTTCGCCCTCCAGTGTCCAAACATGGAACTACATTTTAAATCTGATGCTACACAAAAACTAACAATGCATCAAAGTCAATATTTTTACTGATGACTGAAAATCCCCCAGACACCAAATATTTTTCGTATAGAAAATAACTAATTTTTGTGGGGTTTTTTTCATAAATAACAACAGTGACATCATGTAATCAAACTGGCATTTAAAGAGTTAAATTCCTAAAAATGATTGAATGTTTGGTAGTTTTGAGCAGGGCTGAAGTTGTTTAAGAGATGTATGCAGAAAAAAGTAGGAAAATTTTCAATTTGTTCTATTTTTATATCAGATTTTTGGAAATGGACATTTTTGTCCTTAGTGACTTAAGAGGGTCGTAAATTAAACTGATGACTGAGGGTTAAACACAACGATTGGGAGGTCAAAGGTTAGGCTACATGTGACCAAAACAAAAGATGAGGAGAATACAAAATGCTTCAGCACTGTCTGAAATGTTGCCAAATTCTGCGGCACCTCCTGGTGACCAAACGGGCATCGAGGTCGTCTTTACACAATGAACAGGTGAATACTTGATTCCTGGTTTTCATTCTGTCAGAGGTCGCTTCGTCGGCCTACGCCCCGCTGGTCAACTTCGGCTGTGGGATGGTTGCCGGCGTCATGGCGTCATTGGTCACACAGCCTGCAGACGTGGTGAAGACCCACATTCAGATCAGCCCGTCCCACTGGAGCATGGCGGACGCTATCCGCTACATCTACAAGGTGAGTGTTGATTCCACACCGCATGTGATGCTCGTCGTAACATTCAAAAACAAATCTAACCCCTCTCTGTCCTCGCTCGCCCTCAGGAGAACGGCGTGGCTGGGTTTTTCCGCGGGGCCGTACCCAGGTCTCTGCGACGCACTCTCATGGCCGCCATGGCTTGGACTGTCTACGAACAGCTGATGGCTCGAATGGGCCTCAAATCCTGAAGAGCCGTGACGAGACCGAGACCGGATACGTCTGAGTTTGTGACTGACAGAAGTTTCTCACTGGAAGTCCTGAAAGTGAAAGTGAACGAGGGAGTCGAGGAGGAGCAGCAAAACCAAGAACTTAGAAAAGAGGAACCAGGTGTGTGTGTGTGTGTGTGTGTGTGTGTGTGTGTGTGTGTGTGTGTGTGTGTGTGTGTGTGTGTGTGTGTGTGTGTGTGTGTGTGTGTGTGTGTGTGTGTGTGTGTTGGTATTTAAATGTTTGTGTGTGTAAGTTTGCACCTGACACACACTCTTCTGTAAATCTTGGATTGGAGTGACGCCCCCTGCTGTGAAGTGATCTCATTCCTCCTCTCGTTTTTACATTTGGACGCTCTGACGTGTATCCAGCACTTTAAAAAAGGCCTTTCCCAGAGGGCCTGTAACCGTGACAACCCTGAGTTGTTTTTTTTTTTTTTAAATGCTGTGAAGAGAAATGGGACACTCTCCGAGCTGGTGTCCCGTCTGCTGAGGTAACCAAAAGGAGCTCTGCACATATTTATGATACGTGCTTTGGATTGAGCGATCTTTTCTTCAACGCCAACAACAAGCAGACTTTATTGTTTTCAGGCTCCGACAATCATGAGTGCTCACAGAGCGGCATTGTGGGTAGACAAAATCACAATAAAGCTGTTGTTGCCGTGCCAACTATGCTAATATAAAGTTTTTATGAAACTGGAGCAAGTTTAACTCTGCACAAGCACAACCAGATGTTCTTCTATTTGTGTTTTTATCGCTGTAAGGTCAGGGGGGTGTACTACGAAGCAGGTTGTTTGGGTTGTCAAGGTAACGTCAGGGTTAACTCTGGGCAACCGGTATGAAACTCTGCCTTCTGACGGGACGGGGCGCAGATGGCCTCAGATCATGCCTCATATTACAGAGGGTATAGTCCTCAAAGCGGGCGTCACGGGTTTGAATCCCACCTGCAGCTCCTCTCCCACATGTCATCTCTCTCTCTCTCTCTCTCCCTCTCTCGTGCTTATTATCCACTCTGTCCACTTTTCTTTCAAAATAAAGGCATGAATCGCCCCAAAATGTATTAATTAAACTGCCTTCTAATGGGGCGCAGATGGCCTAGCGATTAGATCGTGCCCCATGTTACAGAGGATAAAGTCCTCTAAGCGATCGACCCGGGTTTGAATCTGACCTGCAGCCAGTGTCTTTTTAAATGGCCGTAGTTTTTAAAATCATTTTTAATACCTTTTAATTCAATCGCTCATTAAATGAACAGAGATTATGTTGTTTTAAAACATGCACTCTTAAAAAGTGTTATTACTATTTTAACAACCGCAGTTCGTGATCCTGTATGCTTACAGGAAGCTGACTCCGCCTCTGATTTGTGAGCACGCTCATTAAGCTCCGAGTTAACTGACCACGTTGATAACCAGCTCTGTGTGATCTCATTTTTCAGCGTTGGTGAAGCCAGGTGACCAGGGTTTGTTGAACTTGCTTCATACTATACCCCCCAGGAGTTTTTATGAGTTATGTCTTTTAAAGGCCTTTTTTTAAAATAAAATAAAATGTACGATGTCAAAAACAGCGATGCCACGTTCATTAGTTCCTGTGTTTTAACTTAACGGGTGTTCTACACATTCATCTTACTAACAGGGTGACATGCTGTCATTGAGTTACCGCCTGTGATTTATTTAGAACACTGTCGGTATGTTTCACCAACATTTACCTTGTTTTAGAATGATTCTCCTGTGTTTATAAAAAGTTTTACTGAGTCATTGTTGACACTGGATGGATCTCGAAAGCTGCTTGTAAATATTGAAGAAAAAAAAACAGAATTATCAGCCGTATTTTTGTTTTGCTTGTAAAGTGCTCCGTTTGGTGTAGATTGTATTTATTTTTTGGAGTTATATTGATAATAGTTATAATAAAAGAAAGTATTCATAGAGTAAATACCAAACACAAGATCTCAGTAGCAGTGAAGCTTTAAAGGAGCAATATGTAACTCTGACACCTAGTGGTTAAAATGGGTACTGCAGTCTAAATTGTAGAGAGCTGTCTCCTTTCCTCTCTAGAGTGGATGCTCACTCAGGTCACCATGTGGTGGACTCTGAAGCTTCAGTGTTTATCCAGCTCTGCATGGGTCTGTAAACCTTTCTGTGTTCTAACCTCTCTCCATTTTTCAAAAGCATCTCCAATATTGATCCTAGTTTGAGCACGTTTCTGCTCGTGGAGCTTATTAGAAACATGCAGAGGCTTTTTAGGTCGGGTACAATCACTTCTATCTGAACCACTTCTCTTGCCCGCTTCCATCGCTGCAACACCTGTTGGCCTGATAACTGCTCTCATATCTGGCAAACCGAGGGGTGTCCAAAACGGCCGTGTGGGGGCGCCTTAAAACCGCCTACCTTCTCTGGTCCAAACAAATCCAGAGCATTCAGGAGCAGAATCTAAAGTTAGAAGGAGGACATACTGGCTGCTGCATTGTTGTCAGAGAAGCCAGCACTTCAACATAGCATGTTTCCTTAATGTCTGATCATATAGTAAGGTCACTTTAAAGTTCAGTAGATATCTTACATATTGCTCCTTTAAAGAAGTTAATGTCTGAAGAGAAACATCTCGTTCTCTGAAGTAAACACTATGAGGACAGTGTGCGCTCTAAAATGTGATTTGTGTTATAATGGAAGGTTTTATTACAAGAGGATAACTTGAGTTTTGTTTGCCTCAGTGTTTATGGTGAAACACAAACTGTGTCTAACTGTGCCCTACACGTACACGTGCCATAAATCACACCTGGAAGTCTCTTCACCCAAACACCACTCCTGTAGTCGTTGCTCCTGTGTTACTGCGACTTTATATTGTACGTGCTCATTGTTATTGTAGGTATTCGGTCTGTTCAGGTGTTTGCTCAGACGGATGCTGTTCCTGTTCCCGCCTGGTTTTTAATGTCAATAAAGTTTGTGATTTAAAAAAAAAAACATCTAATTTTTGACTTTTTGAACGAGTTCAAATTCAGATTAGGTTTTGATTTATTTCTGTTAGAGTTACCATGATACCAGATTTTACCCTTCATGACATCACAAAGGGCAGTAGCCCCTCCCCCAGGTGGGTGACACTCCCACAGCTAGGTGTTTGTTCTGCCCTCTGAGTCTGCCTTCTCAATGTAAACAATAGGACATGGAGTGAGAAAGCCAGACACCCAAACCCTTCCAGAGAGGGGGCGTGGTCAGACACAGCTCATTTACATATTTAAAGGCACAGACACAGAAACAGCCTGTTCTGAGCAGGGCTGAAATAGAGGGGTTTATAGACATGATTAAATCGAAGAAGAAGAAGAAGATATACTTTATTAATCCTGTGAGGGGAAATTCAATTTTTACACTGTAATTTATTTGTTTATTTGGATCCCCATTAGCAACTACTCTTCCTGTGGTCCACTCATACAAACATGAATTTCATAAGCCACACAAATTAAATTATTGAAAGTCCAAGACGGAACATAAAAATACAAAAATAGAATAAATGACAGCACACTAACAGGCAAAGTACAAATCAAAAACATCAAGAACCTATTGCAAGTCAAAAAGGAAATCTCTCATATGTTCACGTTATATCTATGCAATCAATAAAATACAGTGTTGGACAAATCTTATAATTATTGTTCCTACTTAAACAATGCAGAGTAAAGGCCCTGACACACCAAGGAGATCGTCTGCAAAATCTGATGGAAGATCATTCCACATCTTCATGCCTCGATGCATAACAGTACGTTGTCTTACGTTAGTGTTTGAGGGTGGAAGTGTAAAACAACTTCTTGAAGCATGCCTAGTGTTAAAATCATGACCATTACAACTAAAAAACAATTGACGAAACAAAATATTTGGCATTTTAGACGTTGAAATATTACTAAAGAAGCAAAGTTAACATCAAAAACCTGCTCACTCATGATGAACAAGAGCGTAGCGCCTGCTGCAGTTCAGAGAGCTTATTGGATAACGAGCCAAAATGCCCTTCTCTGCCCCGGTGCTTTTATTGTGAAGTGCTGCGTCACCTACATGAATTTCTGGAGTGATGCTCGAGTGAAGACGGTGATGACATGTCAAAAAAGTTTCTGTTAATTGTAGATTTTTATACAGACACGTGTGTAATTTTGAGATTTCTAATAAATCATCTTAAGAACTCGGCTCTATTGACATGGCAAAAATCTGATGGTTTAGTTTTTTTTCAATAAAATAGATTTTTTTTACGAATGAATGGAAGTTAAAACAAATTATTCACTGTGCCCACCTCTGTTAAAACATTAATAACATGACAGATTCAATAGCAGATGAAGTGGAGTTTTTCCACACAGTCCCAGTTCTCCCAGTGTCCCTCTTTGGTTAGAGCTCCGCAGCGTTTCCTGAGAGGACACTGGTGCTCCTGGTCTCCTTCGGGCCAGGCCTCGTACACCAGAGGGTCACCGTTCACCCACAGCCAGCGATCACCAAAGAAACGCAGGCCGATCCACACCCGCTCTGTGATGTGGTCGTGCTGGATCTCGCTCAGGGCCAGGCGCTGCTCGGTCTCAGAGTTCAGGCTGGTGAGGTCAGTGTGAGTTTCTCTGCAGTGCTCCAGAGCCTCCTCCCAGGTCTTCTTCACGTCATCCACCATCAGGTTGAAGCAGAAAAAGGGAATTTCTCTATCTGATCTGACACCATGCCACCCTTTTCGGTCACAATGCCAGTAAGTCGCAGCAAATGTCTCATTGTCCAGAGGTTCTCCATCAGCCCATGTTTGTATATTTGTTGCGAGTTCTTCTCCAGTCCACCTCCACTTTTGTTCCTTGTCTCTGTAGAGGCCGATCCAGGCCAACTTTGTCATTTTGGAATTCAATTTGTCCATTGTTGCATTTTTCAGTCTCTCTTGATCCAATGGTGTAGTGAAAGGGGAAAGATCAGTGTATTTATCTTTGCAGTAGTCTCGAGCTTCTTGCCATCGCTTTGGAATATCCACATATACATGCTTTCCAAACTGTGCTGACACAGTAACAATTAAAAGCATGCTCAAAACGACAATCTGCATGGTGCTGAATTTTACAGATAATTGCGAGGAAGCGTTCAAAGCGTCTTCTGTTACAGGTGAGGCTCGGGTTCCACTGCGACGGCTCCCTCCTCTGTTGCCTCCTCATATATATGCTAGTGTACGTCTGTGATGTCACAGATGTCACCTTCACTCACATCCTCAACTTTGCTTTGCAAATGTATTTTCATTTCACCTTGATCTAGTTAATGTGATGCACCTGCTGTTAAAACTCAACACTTTATCCTCCCAACATGAAAGAAGTGATTAGATTGATTGTCAAGACATTTTAAAGTGTAAAAGTTAAAAACAATATAAATTAGTTTTGCCCCGGGCTGCACAGTGGTGCGGTGGTTAGAGCTATTGCCTCACAGCAAGGCCTCATCTGCTGACAGGAGTCTCTCTGTGTGGAGTCTGCATTTTCCCCCCGGGCATGTGTGGGTTCTCTCCAGCTTCCTCCCACAGTCCAAAGACATGCTCGTTATGTTAACTGGTGACTCTACATTACCCCTAGTGTGAATGTGAGTGTGGCTGGGAATAGCGGTATTGATAATGGATGGATAGTTTTTCCCTTCTGAGGAGAACAAAGAGATTGGATTCCTCCTGATAGCAGGCCACTTTGTATAACTTTCTGAATATTATAAGGCGTTTCTGTTATTAATTCATTCAGAGTTGTGGTTTCTAATTCTTTACGATCTTCTCCTCACAATTAAGTTTTTAAGGGGCGCAACCCGTCTAGTCAACCCTGCTGCTTTTCCCAAGAATGCATGTTCCTTAAAAATGAGGCACCATTTAAAAGGGAAATAAACAGGCTTTCCAACAGTATATGATGTATTGCCAAGAAGCATTGTTACAACAAATTAATCTACCAAACACAAATGTCCTTACTTTTTGTGACATGTTGTAACGCTTTGTTCTGCACCTTGCGACTAAAAACCTCTGTGTGCTGCAATCACAAATCAGCTCATCCTGACTCCTTGCAGGTAAAAAGTTGGGGTTCAGTCTAGGTGAAATATTTGGACCTTCGTGTTCTCACATGCGGCTCAACTCAAGGAGTTTTGTGCATGTGTGGAAACATCATTAATGATGTAGTTTCGTGACCCAGGATGGTTTCAACAGAGTCACAGGTGGCGGCAACGTGATGGGATTATGGAGCCGCGCTTGACTTCCAAAAGTAAAATGAACCATGACGCTGGACTTACTAACTTTGCAAGTCTCCTACTGAAGTCAGTGAAGCCGTCAAGTATTTCCCTAAACAATTTTGCTTAGTTAAATTTCCATTTGACCTTCATAGGTGAAGAAAGTCTGATGTTTTTCTTCATATGCTCACAGGTCATGTTGAGGTTCCCTACAGACACACCTGGTATGAAAAACCCATCTGTGTTTGTGTCTCCTGTGTCTGGAGGTTATCTGGAGAAGAATAAATAATGCTTGCTGTGCAAATGCATCAAAACCTGACTCTGACCAGGGGCCTGAACTACGAAGCAGGATTTGGAGATAGCGAGGTCACTTTAGGGTTAACCCTTGGTTTTCAATCCTACGAAGGTCGTCCACTTCTTACCTAGTTATATCGCCATGGTAATTTATGCGTCACATCTAACCTGCTCCGGAACAGATTATGTTGGAGATTAGAGATCAACCTGTGAAAATCTCCGCCCACTGATTTATCAGCTCCCTTGATCGTGGAGCTCCCGGAACTGATTAAGAAGGTAGAAGGAGGGGGAGGGACCCTTCATATGTCCCGTATAATAACATTACAGTCCGTTAAGTTAATG